CGTTACTTTGCCCGTCCTGTACCCTTTTTCTCTACGCTGGGCCATTTGATGCTAACGTGTTCAGTTTGGACAGTTGATAACATACCAAATTCCACTCCTCTCGAAGCAGATTCTCGCTCGGATAGAGGATACACTGCAGAATCTACGCCTACGACTGTCTGCCAGACGATGGCGTCCCCGTCCTCCAGCGTTCGACACCGGGGCGGCAAGAAGAACGGCGAGAGCCCTACCCCCTCTCCAGCAGCTGCGTCGGGCTTGAAGAGCGCTGAGAATAAGCCAGCTGTAAAGAAGGGAAAGGGACAGACCGAGTCCTCGTCAGAATGGGATTACAGACTTGCCCTGGTCATTGTTACCATTGGCGCGTTTGCTACGAGGTTCTGGAAGATCAGCTATCCTGACCAGGTGGTGTTTGATGAAGTACACTTCGGAAAGGTCAGTTTAGAAGCATTGCTGTTATATCTCGATATAATTGTCTTGTAGGCATAGATGGGAGAGCGGCTGGGCTGACGCTGTGTGCTGCAGTTTGCTTCACTTTATATCCAAGGCACATACTTCTTCGATGTCCACCCGCCGTTTGCCAAACTCCTCTTTGCGCTGGTCGGCTGGCTGGTTGGATTCGATGGAAAATTCCTGTTTGAAAACATTGGAGACTCGTACACGGACAACAAGGTGCCTTATGTTGCCCTTCGCGCTCTACCGGCCATGCTTGGCTCCCTGACCGTCCCCGTCGTGTTTCTCATTATGTGGGAATCTGGCTACTCGCTCCCTGCCTGTGTTCTTTCCGCCGGTCTTCTCCTGTTCGACAATGCCCATATCGGCGAGGATAGGCTGATTCTGCTCGATGCCACTCTTGTCATTTCAATGGCATTGAGTGTGCTCTGCTATATCAAATTCCACAAGAACAGACACCAACCTTTTAGCCGAAAGTGGTGGAAATGGATGCTTATGACCGGCATTGCTCTCAGCTGTGTCATCTCGACCAAGTATGTTGGTGTCTTCACCTTCGTGACCATCGGATCTGCTGTCTTGATCGATCTATGGGGGTTGCTTGATGTGAACCGCCGCCGGGGCAAGCTTAGTCTCTTCGAGTTTGGTACCCATTTCGCTGCTCGTGCGTTCGGCTTGATCATCGTCCCCTTTTTCATCTACCTCCTCTGGTTCCAGGTCCATTTTGCTATTCTCACCAAGTCTGGCCCCGGTGATGACTTCATGAGCCCAGAGTTCCAGGCCTCGCTCAGTGATAACCCCATGTTTGCTCAGTCCAAGGGAGTCGAATACTATGATGTACTTACTTTCCGACACAAGGACACCAAGGTCTACCTACACAGTCACCCTGACCGCTATCCTCTTCGATATGATGACGGCCGTGTCTCCAGTCAGGGCCAGCAGGTCACCGGATACCCTCACAACGACACCAACAACCACTGGGAAATCCTGCCTCAGGTCCCCTTTGCTTCTGATAACCGTACCGGACACAAAGTTCGCAATGGACATATCGTGCAGCTCCGCCATGTCGCTACCAACACCTTCCTTCTCTCACACGATGTTGCGTCTCCCAGCTACCCAACCAACCAGGAGTTTACCACTACCTCCCCTGAAGAAGCGGCTGGCAACCGACATAACGACACCTTGTTCGAGATCCAGGTCCCCAAGGGCAAGGCTGATGAGGAATTCCGAACCCGCTCCAGCCTGTTCAACCTGATCCATTTCCCTTCAAAGGTTGCTATGTGGACTCATACCAACCCTCTGCCAGACTGGGGATACAAGCAGGCTGAAATTAACGGAAACAAGAACTCCAAGGACCCAAGCAACCTCTGGTATGCGGAAGATATCCCATCTTTGGCGCCGGACAGCCCTCGAAGTCACCAGGAACCTCGCAAGGTCCAGCCAATGCGTTTCCTGAAGAAGTACCTCGAACTCCAGGCTGCCATGTTCCACCATAACAACGCCTTGACGAGCAGCCATCCGTATGCCAGTGAACCGTTCCAGTGGCCCTTCTTGCTTCGTGGTGTCAGCTTCTGGACAAAGAACGACACCCGAGAACAAATCTACTTCCTTGGAAACCCCGTCGGATGGTGGCTTTGCAGCAGCCTTCTCGCGGTTTTTGTCGGTATTCTCGGAGCCGACCAGCTTGCTCTCCGTCGTGGAATCGACGCCCTGGAAGAAAGTAAGTACATGTCTTCCGTCTCATCGTTTGTCATGAGCTAATGGTAATCAATCAGTCTGGGGCCCAGGAACCCGTCACCGCCTGTACAACAGCACCGGTTTCTTCTTCCTCTGCTGGGCAGCTCACTACTTCCCGTTCTATCTTATGGGCAGACAACGCTTCCTGCACCACTATCTCCCTTCTCACATAGCGTCTGTTCTGGTCACTGGCGCCCTGGTCGAGTTCATCTTCAACATTGACCCCGCCGGTTTGAGCGAGGACTTCGTGGCGAGCAAGCCTGGCCATGGCCCGCTAAAGATCAAGCACACCCGGCAGAGCCTCTTGGCCATCTGGGCCGCTACTATCGCGATCCTGGGAGCAACAATCTGGGGCTTCGGCTTCTTTGCTCCACTCACCTACGGAACTCCAGGTTTGGACGTTGCTGGAATCAACGCCAGAAAGTGGCTCTCTTACGACTTGCACTTTGCAAAGTAACTTACACTTTGATGAAAGATGAGCTGAATACTCTGTGTACATCTGTACAGGGAAGAGGATGTTCACTATGAACACCCATGCGAATCCCCTTGATCCTATAATTCCCCCCTCATTACCTCTTATCAACCGCAATCCCCCCAAAAGACCTTCTATTTCCTTTGCTATCCTCCCATGCTCAGCTAGGTTTATTTTAATAGAGCACATTATCTCCCATATTTTCGAGGACGTCTCTGCATATCTCGTCTCAACTACCTGTACTCCGTACATGCTGCATATCTGGTGCACACCATGCAACGAATAAGAAGTCGGCCAGCAGCCCCTCCATGAGAAACCAAGTATCTGACTGTTCATCGAGTAAGCAGGATTCAGCAGCAAACCATGCACCAACGGGCCCCATAGCCTTTGCCCATCGCCATGTCCTCTGCTCCTTTGGCCCTTTTTCTTCCTTATTCCCTGCTTACAGCCGTCTTTGTCATGCTGCGCTAAGCCCGCTAAGCCCACCCGGAGAGCCGAGGCTTGGCTTTTGTCAGTGATGACAAACGTCTCTTTTTGCTGCTTTTTTGCTTTTTCCTCGTTTTCGCCTTCTCGACCAGCAAACAACCCGGCCGGCCAGCCAGCCAGCCAGCGTGAAACGATAACCAAGCAACCATGACGGAGAAACCGACCAGATGGTTCGGCATGCACGGAGTTCCATAGGAAAAAGCTGGCCAGAAGCTTAATTAAGAAGGTTAAGTTGCTGCGTGGTGGGCCCTGGTTTGTCTGGTCTTACTCAGGCTTCCCTAAGGCCTTATAAAGCCGCCGTCATGGACACACGGCCAGCAAGTCATTATTAGCAGTCTTCTATAGAAGATTCTCGTCCTGATACCCGACTATAAATACCCTCTCATTCTCCATGGGCTGGACTTTTCCTTCTTTTTTCATCATTCTCATTTCCATCATTGTCTCGATATACCAAGTCCAGACATTGAATCTCTTTAACACCTCGAGCACTGCTACAAACACCTCCCTGAACAACATCAACAACAACACCATCACAAACAGCCCAGTACATACAAACATGTCTGCCCCAAGAGCCATAAGACAGGCCTTCTTGGCCATTGAGAAGTCAGAGGGCATGGGTGCGCGCGTACGACGATCCATCGGCACTCCCAAACTTCGCAACTTCAGCCCCTTCCTCATGCTGGACCATTTCACCGTTGGCAAAGACGCCGGATTCCCCGACCACCCTCACAGAGGACAAGAGACCATCACCTACCTCCTCTCTGGCGGTGTAGATCATGAAGATTTCGCCGGACACAAAGGCACTATCGGCCCAGGCGATCTGCAATTCATGACTGCCGGCCGAGGCATAATGCACGCTGAAATGCCCCATAACAACCCAGACGGCAGCCCCAACGTCGGCATCCAGCTGTGGGTTGATCTACCCAAGAAGCTGAAGATGTGTGAACCCAGATACCGTGATCTCCGCGCCCAGGAAATCCCAATTGCCTCTGCGGATGGCGGAAGAGCCACTATCAAAGTCATCTCTGGCAAGTCTCATGGCATAGACTCGGTCAAGGACCTAGCCTACACGCCTGTCTGGATACTGGACATCACTCTCAAGCCAGGCGGAAGAATCAACCAGATACTGCCTATTGGATGGAACGCCTTTGCCTACACCCTCGAAGGCACCACTACCTTCAACAAGAAGAGAGTCCCTCAGTACCACAACGTTGAGTTCGTACAGGAGGGAGATTCGGTCCAGGCTTCAAACGAGTCTGACGAAGAGTCTCGCTTCTTAATAATTGCCGGCCAGCCTCTTGACCAGCAGGTCGTCCAGTACGGTCCTTTTGTTCTGAGCTCCACGGAGGATGTTTACCAGGCTATCAGTGACTTCCAGTCGCACTCTAACGGTTTTGAACGAGCCAGAGGGTGGCAGAGCGAGATCGGAAAGAGAATGCTATAGATCGACTAATATTGCCGATTTTTCCTTACTTTTCGATATGGGTTAGAATTTTCATGTACCATGCTGGGTTTCCCGGAGCATTGCTTGCTGTTTTCGTTTATGGCTCAATTGATGAGATATGACTTTGTGCTCCCCCAGACATTCCTTTGCATGTTTCCTGTTTCCTGTTTCCTGTTTTGCATGTACTTTAATTGAATAAATTGTTGAATGTTAGGAGTTCATCGTCGCCACGTCCTTGTTCAATATATCTTACGTCAAATGTAGCCATATATCTTGTAACATGATGTCATAGCAAAATTCTACCTATTTATATATATATTCACAGTAAACCGCCATACTCCGTACCTGTTCCAGTCGAATTAACACTACAGTTCACTCAACAATATACTTCTATTCAATCTATAATCAATAATCATGTCTCAGGAAGCATATCAAGCCGAGAAAGACCTCAACTCGTACCAGGCAAAGACTGGTAGAGGAGGGAAGAACATCAGTGATACCGGTTCGTACTCTCCCCTTCTCGGTTACCAATCCCATTCTGACGTCTTTCTTCTACTAGCCCAAGAGACCGGCGTCGACGCAGGTGCAGAGAATAAATTCCCAGGCGCCCAGGTGAGGGTAGGACCTGGTTCGACGGCCAGCGGGAGTGATCACCGGGTTATTCCGCCAGAAGAGGGCGGTGAAATCGATGACCAGGGACAGTAAGGCATTTCTCTCTGCCGTCTTTCAATAGTGGTGGATGTATCCGGATGCTAACGTCGTCGTCCCTTGATATTGCAGTGTGACGAAGGCAAAGGACTTTTTGGGCTCGAACAAGCAGGATTAAAGCGGCGTGCTTATGTCATCATCCGCCTTTTTGTCGTCGAAAGTTTAAACAGCTTAACAAGGTAACTTAAAAGGGATAAATAAATAGCAATCAAGTGTATATTATTATTATCTGGAAGATCGATATCCTTCCGTGTGCCGCACCGTTTTACAGTTACGGGTACTTCTTAGCTGCGGGCTCTACTATCAAGAGGCAGCTCACGTTCAAAATCTGTTATATGAAGTTCTTGCATCCTTAAGAGATGACCAGCCTGTGGATGCCCCGGATTCTTCGACCCGACTATACATGGCCGCGGCCAGTGCTCCTTAGAATATCCGAAATAACTCCTCCGGTTCCTCGAATATCAGGTAGAATTGTCCGGCGTCTCTGGGGTATCCTGCATAAGGGCCTATACATCTTTTCTGAGTGGTATTGCTACTGGTTTGATGTCCCGTTCGATGGTAATATTGCACAGCTACCTTTCGGCCTGCTTTTGAAATGGACAGATAGAACAAGTCTAGAGGAAGCTGTAGCTATGCAGATGGTAGCTGCTGGTGGTATTCCAACCCCAAAAATTCTTTGTTATGGAGAGCATCCGAACGATCCCTACAACAGGCATATCTCTATTCTCATGACGAGGCTTCCTGGTATAACGCTTGAGAATTCGAGGGATCCACTAGACATCGAGACATCCGGACCGTGGCTTGAGGAATTAAAAACATGCGTGAGTGCTATGCGTCAGTGGAGTCCTCCTGAGAAGCTGTTCACTGGCTCTGTGATTGGGACTGCTGTGCATAGCCAGCGAGTTCCGAACCATATCATGGGCCCATTCACAACTCAAAATGGTCTATACGATCACCTGTTCTCTACTGCGTCATCACATGGGTTTACTTCTACCGAGAAATTCGAGGAAGCATTGACGGAAGCGAGGAAGATATACGAAAGGCCGCATCGGGTTGTGTTCACTCATGGAGATTTCAAAGCTCACAATATCCTTGTTGATGATGATGGACATCTATCGGGCTTCCTAGACTGGGAATCAGCTGGGTGGTATCCCGAGTACTGGGAATTTACTACAGCTATGAGGTTTGGGCGGAACACCTGGTGGTATCAAGTCGCTTCTTGGATGGGCGGGGACCAGTATTCCCAGGAACTGTCTTCAGATGTCGCCCTGAATCTATTGACAGTTGACTCTTATATAGCGTGGTAATTGAGGAGGATTCTAACACATGAAACGGCAATACAACAGTTCCACTTGTTTTTTTACACTGGCTAAAATGGGAGTATACTGGACTCATTTTTATTCAGGACAGAAAAGAGGAAGTTACAGTGAATGATGGACAGGAGAGACTTTCACCAGATTGCAAAACACAATACACTAGATGCCACAAAAAATCGCCTATCAGACAAAAATCAATGGCAAACCTCGGATCTGACAACAGGACGCGGTTGGGTATTCTCTGCGGCAGCAGCGCTATACTGGTTTCCAACCCTGAAACACTCTTGCTCTAGCGCATCACGGCTGGTGTACCTGACCAACCCATTTTCTGAGAGCTTTTCGGCAATAGTCAACACCCAAACTCTGCAGGACATCCCTGGGATTGAGTTGACATCTCCATCACGCGACCTCATGATCTGATCAACAAGGGACTTCTTTTCCGGTGGGATGCTGGCAATCTGGATCAGAACACAGAGGAAGTTCGACTTGAAGACACCGTTGGTAGGACCATGATCCGCGATCCACCCATGTCCCATATTCTTCATATGATATTTGTGGCCCTTCAATTTGGCTGTGTGAAAATAGTATCCCCAATGGAAATCGTTCGACACGGGAGGGTCCGCGCGAATCCACAGAACAATATAGAGAGAGTCTAGTGGGAGTCGACTTAATGCTTCTTCTTGAAGCTTTTTGATAGCAAGTGCTCTTTCCTGTGGCGTTGGGGGTAGTCGTGCCTTGGAACTCGAGGGGGCTGCGGACAACTGGCTGGATGCCATTGATTTTGACATTTTCAATTCCAGTAAGCTTTTTTTGTAGAGAGAGAGTGTGTCGATATGTAAGGGTGTTTGAATGAAGTGATATAGAAAGAGGAATCATGTTGAAAATCAGACGATTACCCAGGAATGAGCACCTTTATATGGCGTATCTTTTCACATGTCTCGTGTATTTCAATTAGAACTGGTTGCCTAACTGCCGTGAGAGGGTGTGTGTCTAATAACAAGGATGTGATACTGGGTATGTCCATGCGAGTCCCCTGTTCCTGTAATAGAAAACAATGATGACTGTTGACCAGGTTAGAGAAAGCATATTTCGAACGGTAGACAAGGTAATCCATTGGTATGCGTGGGCAGTCAACTAATTGGCCGACTCCTAACTCAGAGTAGTAAGGTATGACATGTGGTGAATGAATGGACAAGACAACAAAAGCGGGCTGAGGTATCCGTGCCTTGCATAAAGATATATGTAATGCGGTCAGAAAAGGCGTCTTCATTTCTTCCAGTCCTCGATCCACATTGTGGATCCTGCCTCTGAGTCCGCTCAGTGTGGGAGCAAGCGGCTTCGGTGCCTTTCTCATGCACACTTAGTCGTGCAACCGTGTAAAGTATGTATACCCTTTCGGCATTTGTGGTTGTTGTCATCTCAGATCCAAGCAATTGGTCAGAAAATTGTTAATCTGAGAAGCAGCCTTTGCCATATTCCATACAAATGGATGTCGATTCTCCCCCCTCCCCCAAACCTAGAGTATCCAATGAGAAGAGCAATCGCGTACAGCGTTGTAGTATCAATGAGTGGAGGCGGCCATCTCTTTACGAAGAAGCTGCGTACCAACATGTATGGTGTTTGAACAGCCTTGAACTCAAAAATGTAGTCAGGCTCAAAGTGCGGTAAATGAGTGGACAAGAAGCCTCAAAAAGGATATGACTCATAGTATATAAGGCAGTAGGTGTCAAATAATGGCTTCTCAGCCAGTCAATGTGCATGGTAGAGTAGCTGACCAGGGGGTAACCCAGGGTCCCATGTGCGGCGCAGCGAAATCAATGCAGCTTAGCGCCGTCAACTGGTGGAATTTTGGGGGCCATTCCCCGAATCAGATGGTTGCCTGCTTGGCTCGGTGTCTTCCCTACATAGTAGGCCATATTTTTGTAATGAGGCTGCTATTTGATAGACACAACGCTGGGTACGCTCTCCCTGGTCATAACCCATGAGAGGAATTTTTACGAATTTCTGCGATTGCCGGAGGGAGCTCCGCACAGAAATCCTAGTTGCTATCCTTGGTGCTGAACAGGGAACATCTTTATCTTTCCTTCAAAGATGTGAAGCAGATAGCTCAGGAAATGATTGAGTTGGACGTTAGTGTAGTTCGCGAGAAGAGAAATGAAACTGTCAAAATGGTCAAAGTCGAAGTTTGGCGTCGGAAGTTGGAGAGTTTTGCTGACTAAGCTCAAAGCCAGCGTGTTGCGTTCGCAAGTCTAGAAAGACGAGCAGCAGCAGCAGCTTCAGCAAGACAAGCTGAAGTTGATCGATGAGCGCAACTGGCAAGGCTGTCTTCTCTCTCTCGTCTCCAGCTTCTTCTTCTTCTGTCGGGCCATCATGGCCAGCGGTGCAATTGAGCCGTTTCTAAAGGGCAGCACCTCTGAAAACACCCGTGGGCTGCTGCGTGTCGTTATCTTACTGCTCATCGCCGCAGCCGCAGTCTCCAGCAGATTGTTCAGTGTCATAAGTATAGATGTCCCTCAAATTAGTTAAACTTACTACGTCTTACAGACCAATGTCGAGCGTAATGGCTAACTGTTTTGCTGCTTTAACTAGGATTTGAAAGTATCATCCACGAATGTACGATTACCCTTTTGGACTATATGGAGATCAGCCCAACAGTATTCTTCCCCTGCGAAGCCGACTGTAACTGACCATAATGCGCCGATATAGTCGATCCATGGTTTAATTTCCGAGCTACAAAATACCTGGTTGAGCATGGTTTCTACAAGTTCTGGGACTGGTTCGATGACCGTATGAAGCTCTACATTCTCCCCCCCGCACCCTTTGGGGTAGACGGTTCTGCTGTGCCTGGGAAGGTGGCCTTTATACTGACGGAGTTTTATCTAGGAACATGGCATCCCCTGGGACGTGTCACTGGTGGCACTCTTTACCCCGGCTTAATGGTCACCAGCGGTGTCATCTATAAACTCCTCCGACTTCTCGCTCTTCCCGTCGATATTCGAAACGTATGCGTTTTACTTGCTCCCGCCTTCTCTGGCCTGACAGCCCTGGCCATGTACCTCCTCACTACAGAGATGGCTCCCTCTCCATCAGCCGGTCTTTTAGCCGCTGCCTTTGTCGGAATTGCGCCAGGTTACATCTCCCGTTCCGTGGCTGGAAGTTACGATAACGAAGCAATTGCCATCTTCCTTCTCGTCTTTACATTCTTCCTCTGGATCAAGGCTGTGAAGAACGGATCGATCATGTGGGGTGCCTTGACAGCTTTGTTCTATGGGTACATGGTGTCTGCCTGGGGTGGATATGTGTTCATTACCAATTTGATTCCTCTCCATGTCTTCGTCCTCATTTGCATGGGAAGGTATACATCCCGTCTATATATCAGTTATACCACGTGGTACGCTCTTGGAACCCTAGCCAGCATGCAAATTCCATTCGTTGGTTTCCTACCAATCCGCAACAGTGACCACATGGCAGCTCTTGGTAAGTACGGTTGGTACCCATGCGTACTGGATTCTACTAACCATTGGGCTAGGTATTTTTGGCCTCCTTCAAATTGTTGCCTTTGTGGAGTTCCTGCGTGCTCAGGTTCCCAGCAAACAGTTCCAGACTGTTCTTACTAGCCTTGTCCTCTTGGTTTTCATCGTGTCATTTGCTGGACTAGTACTCTTGACGGTCTCAGGAGTCATTGCACCATGGAGTGGACGATTCTACTCTCTGTGGGATACTGGCTACGCAAAGATTCACATCCCCATCATTGCATCCGTCTCAGAGCACCAGCCTACCTCCTGGCCAGCTTTCTATTTTGACTTGAACATGATGATCTGGCTCTTCCCACCAGGCGTATACATGTGCTTCTACAGACTCAAAGATGAGCATGTCTTTGTTATTATCTACGCCGTCCTAGCCAGTTACTTTGCCGGAGTCATGGTTCGATTGATGTTAACCCTTACCCCTGTGGTATGCGTTGCTGCCGGACTGGCCCTGTCGCAGATATTGGATGTCTATCTACGTATGGACTCCCCCGATCCGGACGCCAAAAAACAAGGATCCGGCGATAAGTCAACCCAAGGAGGCCTACGCATTGCTCGCAATAAGGTTGTGGGCATCTACTCCAACTTCTCAAAGCTAGTCGTGTCAGGAACTGTTCTGGTTTATCTTCTCTTCTTCGTTGCCCACTGTACCTGGGTCACCTCCAACGCTTATTCCTCTCCCTCTGTCGTGCTAGCCAGCAGATTACCCGATGGCAGTCAATTTATTATTGATGACTACCGTGAAGCGTACTACTGGCTTCGACAGAATACCCCTAAGAATACCAAGATCATGGCGTGGTGGGATTACGGATATCAAATTGGAGGTATGGCCGATCGGCCAACCTTGGTTGACAACAATACCTGGAACAACACCCATATTGCTACAGTTGGTAAAGCAATGAGTTCCAGTGAAGAAGTCAGCTATCCTATCCTACGACAGCACGATGTGGACTACGTGCTTGTTGTGTTCGGAGGTCTTCTAGGATACTCTGGAGATGACATCAACAAGTTTTTGTGGATGATCCGCATTGCTGAAGGTATCTGGCCTGAAGAGGTCAAGGAACGAGACTTTTTCACTGATCGCGGAGAGTATCGCGTGGACGAGCATGCTAGCCCAGCTATGCGCAACAGTTTAATGTAAGTATCCCTCGGGTGACTTGTACTAAGGTTTGCCTTTCACTAACAGCTGCTACTAGGTACAAAATGTCCTACTATAACTTTCACAACCTCTTTCCTCCCGGCCAAGCGCAAGACCGTGTCCGTGGTGTCCGACTTCCCTCTCAAGGGCCTCAATTAACCACGATCGAGGAGGCATTCACCAGTGAAAACTGGATCATTCGAATTTATAAGGTAAAGGATCTCGATAACGTAGGCCGAGACCATGGAAGTGCAGCTGCCTTTGAAAAGGGCCACAAGAAGAAGACTGCTGCTAGCAAACGGCGAGGAAGGCCAGTGCTGCGAACGGAGTAAACTAAACTGCCATTTTTATGAAAAGTGCGTATCTAGTTTTATCAGGGTTTCCCATTCTTCCAGCGGATTGTGTTATATAGAACTTTTTATCCTAGGTATCTACTGGAGCATCCATTTCATGTTATTTTTCTGCGTTCCAATATTATCGATGAGATGTAGATTGATAAGAATTGCTCTTCCCCTTTTTGTTTTCTTTTATCTTATCGGAGATGACGTCGTAGGTTTTGTATTACGTAATAATTAACATCGAGCCACCTTTCAATGAATTTGGAGAAGCCGAAATACATCCAGTCCATCCTGTTTGATATACGATTTGATAACTAGGTAAGTTGACATTGCTGTACTATCCGGCGTGCGATTGCTGACTCTTGCATTGGCTGTCTATGTAGAGCTAATGCGCATCCGCCCAGTCACTCTTTTCCCAAACAAACATGGCTTCTTGTCATTAGACTGATCAAACACGCCGAGACGAACAACATCAGCAAATCGGTCCTTTCTCTTTACATAGGTCATGCTTCAGGTGCTAAAATAGGTTGTGGCCTGACCCATTGATAGTAACTGAGCGAACGAGAAGTTATCCTTCTTAACTTCGTTGGGAATATCTCTTGAAACATGCGACACCGCACACTCACAGCTCTATTAGCTGGCGCAAGCTTTGCGTTTGCTGCCCACAAGCCATTTAGCATACAGGATGACGTGCTAGCCAATCCTCAGGTACGCATCACTACTACTTGTTGGAAGAAATTACGATCGGAGAAACACAAGCTTCTAACAATTGGCGCTCGTCTTAG